TTGCTGTATGTGTGCGTCACCATTTTACACACGCATCTAGGCTACAACTGGCCACGCATGTGAATGCTGTGGATCGGGCTTCGGTGCACCGCAGCAACATTGCTGGTGCGTGTTTAGGCCTGTTACTGGGTTCATTCAAAATGAATGGACGCAAATGGCGAAAATGCCTGCGCTGTGCTGTGAGTGATCCCTAAAGACTAGAACGGGTTGAACCCAATTCGTATCTCACTAAGGACCACAGGTGTCACATTGTTTCTCGAGGCCCTTGTCACACGAGTGGTCTGTCACCAGCAATAACTCACCAATAAAAGATTGCTGGCAGACCACCTACCTGGCTCTAGTCAGCGACCGCACCAGCGAGATGCCTTTCCCGGCCACCCAGCAATGTGGGACAGAGAGAGCGATTCCAGGTAAGTGATGTGATGTGGCGGCAGTGTGACCGCCCCTGCAACTCAGTGATCCCCTGGAAACCCCAAATATTTAGCATTGGAACGAGTGAGTGTCACGGCCAGAGCTGGACGCTCATTATCATATAAAGCAAAGGGGGAGTGTCTATGCAAATCAGTCAATTTTTGCATCGGAACTTCAGGGGCTCAGTTGGTGCCTGGAGATGGAGAGCTGTCATTCTTTATCACCTTGTGATAAAAAACTGGAGATGAAATGTGTACATAGACACTTCCTACCCATACAATGCCTACCGAAGATCGATGCTCCAGTGTTTGCTGGACGTTGGAGCTAACAATTTCTTCTGTTTTCTTGAAGACTGTTGGTGAGATCTCTTCCCTACATTCCCGGGTCTGTACTCCTGCTGTGCCCATTATGAGGGGTTCCCACCATCCCTGTGCTGAGTTCTCACAGGAATTATGAGTGGAAGGTGTCACTGTCGGGTCTGCAGTCCCATTATGGTCTGAATCTGAGGAGCCCGGGTCTGTACACCAGCATTTATGGGGTTTGGGGTATATGGTCCTAAGGCTGGCAAAGATATGTGAAGAGCTGGATGCCCTAGTGGGGGATTCTTATGTATTGTTGGAAGGTGCAGATTTATTGAAACTCATTCCATGTCATTCATCCCGGGTCTTTGTTCCCGTATACTAGACTGGGTCTCGGGTCTTTGTTCCCGTATACTAGACTGGGTCTCGGATCTTTGTTCCAGTATACTAGACTGGTTCTAGATCGGGTCTTTGTTCCAGTATACTAGATTGGGTCTCGGGTCTTTGTTCCCATATACTAGATTGGGTCTCGGTCTTTGTTCCCATATACTAGATTGGGTCTCGGGTCTTTGTTCTCATATACTAGATTGGGTCTCGGGTCTTTGTTCCCATATACTAGATTGGGTCTCGGGTCTTTGTTCCCATATACTAGATTGGGTCTCTCGGGTCTTTGTCTTTGTTCTCATATACTAGATTGGGTCTCGGGTGCTTGTTCCCGTATACTAGACTGGGTCTCGGGTCCTTGTTCCCGTCTACTGGATTGGGTCTCGGGTCTTTGTTCCCATCTACTAGATTGGGTCTCGGGTCTTTGTTCCCATCTACTAGATTGGGTCTCGGGTCTTTGTTCCCGTCTACTGGATTGGGTCTCGGGTCTTTGTTCCCGTCTACTGGATTGGGTCTCGGGTCTTTGTTCCCGTCTACTAGATTGGGTCTCGGGTCTTTGTTCCCGTCTACTAGATTGGGTCTCGGGTCTTTGTTCCCGTCTACTAGATTGAGTCTCGGGTCTTTGTTCCCGTCTACTAGATTGGGTCTCGGGTCTTTGTTCCCGTCTACTAGACTGGGTCTCCCGTCTACTAGGGGTCTTTCTTTGTTCCCGTCTACTAGACTGGGTCTCGGGTCTTTGTTCCCGTCTACTAGACTGGGTCTCGGGTCTTTGTTCCCGTCTACTAGACTGGGTCTCGGGTCTTTGTTCCCGTCTACTAGACTGGGTCTCGGGTCTTTGTTCCCGTCTACTAGACTGGGTCTCGGGTCTTTGTTCCCGTCTACTAGACTGCCCGTCTACTAGACTGGGTCTCGGGTCTTTGTTCCCGTCTACTGGACTGGCGTCTTTGTTCCCGTCTACTAGGTCTTTGTTCCCGTCTACTGGACTGCGTCTCGGGTCTTTGTTCCCGTCTACTAGACTGGGTCTCGGGTCTTTGTTCCCGTCTACTGGACTGGGTCTCGGGTCTTTGTTCCCGTCTACTGGACTGGGTCTCGGGTCTTTGTTCCCGTCTACTGGACTGGGTCTCGGCTCTTTGTTCCCGTCTACTGGACTGGGTCTCGGGTCTTTGTTCCCGTCTACTGGACTGGGTCTCGGGTCTCTTTGTTCCCATCTACTGGACTGGGTCTCGGCTCTTTGTTCCCGTCTACTGGACTGGGTCTCGGCTCTTTGTTCCCGTCTACTACTGGATGTGGGTCTCGGCTCTTTGTTCCCGTCTACTGGAATTGGGTCTCGGCTCTTTGTTCCCGCTACTGGACTGGGTCTCGGCTCTTTGTTCCACTATACTAGTATATCAGGACAAACCTAACAGAGGATCTACCTCTAACACAGGAAGGGACCATTCCACCCAACTGATATTTTAGTGGTAGGTTGACTCTGATGGACTGAGTCACCTGCTGACAACTTTTGTGGACTTTGAGGGAAATCTCATTGATAAAATATCCGGCTTCCTTCCTATCTTCCAACTTTATTAGAACGTGACATCACACAGTGACATTTCAGAAACTTCTATTGGCCACTGCACAGTGCGAGGCAGCAAATTGCTGTGCTGGATGGAGAAAAATGTTTTTTTTTTCTTCAATGCATACCATTGCTATGCGCTTTTGCCTTGTCTTGCATTGGAATAGCTGCCCAACACAGTCCCACCGCACCTGGTGTGAATGGGCCCTTAGTGTGCTAAGGGCCCAATGCTCTTTCCGGAATGCAAAACGAGTTTATTCAGCCAGGTATTGAAGGAAAAAGATTGACATGTAAACTGTTCTAGTCCAGCCGATCAGAAATCATTTTTTATTGCTCTGACTCGTGAAATCTGTTGTGTTTGTTGGCTTAGAATGCAAAAAGAAGCAACTTTTGTGCAACATTTAGTATTTATTAGTGCTCATAATTGCAACATTGTATTTTGTTTTATATAGATATAATACCCACGTCCCTCTTAATCACACCTAGAATATTTGAACAATAAACATAAAAATAAGTCCCTGATAGGTTGCCCAAAATCCCACAATCCAAAAAGTTTTGACGACCAAGCAAGCCATATATACTATCACGAGGATCCAATCGTCCGTCTGAATGACATCATCGAGGTAGCCGGTCAGTGGCAAATCCTCAAAGTTAGGGTTGGGATACACTTCAAGGGTTTTCTAATGTATCTAATATATCTAATATTTTGTGTCCCATTGTATGTTGCCATGACTGATGGCTCTCAAAAATTCCTTTCAAGCTCTTGAGAACAAAACCTAAAAATATTCAATTTAGTGTGAACTTAGCAAGAGGTAATCCGCCACCTTTAAATCATTAGGGAAACCTTTCTGGGTGTTTGTTTCTGCCTATAGCTTACAAAATGGCTCCCCCACAATTGGTAAATTATTATGCTAGAAACCTTATCATGTAAACAGGGGAGGGCTGACCATTCCGGAACTCAGGCACTGCCCGAGGGCCCAGGGTCAGTAGGAGGCCCCATGAGATGCCCCTGATACCTTTCATAGGATTTTTTGGGTGTGGTATGAGTGTGGGTGAGGACACAGGATCCCCTATTGCCCGGGGGCCCCATGAGTTGTTAGTCCGCCCCCTGGCTGTTAGTAACCTTCCTTTTCCTTTTTTTTTTTTTTAAGCCACTTGGCCGTAGAAACTTACTTAGCCCTCTATATTTCCCAAACACTATTCTCCAAATATAGATAAAGAAAGTGTTGAGGGTAATGGGGTAAAAGGCTTTCCCAGAAAGAGAAGATGGTGTACCTTTTATTTATCCACCCCAAAAAGCTACAACTACTTGGAAAAAACGTAACATAAACACCTCACTACATCACATTCAAAAAGGCAGAGGTCTCCAAAATCGTGAAGACTTTGCCTTTGCCGGTTTAAAGTGTTTTTGTCTTGGTAAAATATCAGTTGGGTCGCTGAAAAGATCTGTGTTGGGAAGCATCGTGCATAGACAGTTATATTCTACTCCAACGCTTTGGTAAAGGGAGGGCTGCAGCAACTGGATTGTCATGATTGGTGGGGGTGGAACCTTAGAACCATGAAACCTCTGGACCAGGAGGAACATTTGAAGCTTAGAACCATTGAAAATTTAGAAAGGCACTGTAAGCTTATAACCCTCTGGACCAGAAGGGGTGGACCTTAGAACCATGAAACCTCTTGACCAGAAGGGGTATTGGAACCTTAGAACCATGAAACCTCTGGACCAGAAGGGGTATTGGAACCTTAGAACCATGAAACCTCTGGACCAGAAGGGGTATTGGAACCTTAGAACCATGAAACCTCTGGACCAGAAGGGGTATTGGAACCTTAGAACCATGAAACCTCTGGACCAGAAGGGGTATTGGAACCTTAGGAAACCTTGGAACCTTAGAACCATGAAACCTCTGGACCAGAAGGGGTATTGGAACTTTGGGAAATCTTTGGACCAGAAGGGTCATTGAAACCTTAAAATGATGGAACCTCTGCACCAGAAGGGATATTGGAACTTGAGAACCATGGAAATCTGGACCAGTTGGGGGGGGGATGGAACCTTAGTAACCTTTGAACCGAGAGAGGCGTTGGAATCTTAGAACCATAGAAATCTGGACCAGAAAGGGGCGCTGGAACCTTAGAACCATGAAACCTCTGGTCCAAGAGAGGCATTGGAATCTTGGAACTATGGGACCTTTTGACCTACATGTTTTGCAGCTAGTCTCTGAGTATAAGGCATAGATAGACATGTTAGATATTTTTAGGGACCCAAACCGATATTTTACAGTACAATGTTGAGTAGACTGCTCTAGAAAGTGGTCACTAGTCCAAAGTTTATGCTTTTCAGTGTACAAAACTTTCTAGTTGTTGCGGAGTCTTTGACTTCTGGCCTTGTAGACCTCAATGAGGAGGTCCTTCACGTACTGGATCTCTCTTTCAATGGAGTCAGACTTTTCTTTTAGCTCCCTGTTTCGGACTTCTAAGCACTGGCATTCTTCATCCAGTGCGTCAAATTCGGCACGTTTGCGCTGGCGGGCGGTAGCGGAGCGCTGCTGTCTTGTTCTGGTCTCTCTTCTTCTGTTTGCGGTCACCTTTTGGTTGGTGTAAGACGGAGGAGCTGGTGCTGGCGATGGAAGGGCGGTCGTACGGGGTAGGCCTGTTCAGTCGTTTTTGGTTGTGCTGGCGGGTCATTGGTGTCATTGATCACCATAAAGTCCTGCTCTTCTTCTCTTGGGAAATCACTTGGAACATCTGTGTATAGATTCATGAGCTCAAGACATCCAGAATCTAGGGTGTTCAGTGCCACGGGGGCTGGTGCTGGTATTTCCGTAATGTATGCAGGGAACTCTACTCCTCTCCCACTCAGCTGCTGGTCGGGCGTTTGAAAGAGGAAGTGGACTTCATGAGAAGGAGGTGTGCTTGGAGCTACTTGATCAGGTGGCATTGGAACCCCTGGAGAGAGACTCTCCTCCAGGAAGTAATCTTCCATCTGCTCCAGTTCCTTCTTCAGGAGGGTGGCCATGATCTCCAGGTCGGCAGAAGGCCCTGGCATGGATGGATCCGCCAACATTGGCAGAAAACATGAAAAGTCCACCCTTTCCGTCATCCAATCCGTGAATCCATCCCCTGGAAGAAAAGAAATGGAGAGCTAAGTATTGTTGTCCAACTAAAAAGAACAGTTGACCTGTCCGGCAATATCAACATATATGTACTAGTTGTATGTGTTCTTTATGGATTTACATTCTTAAAAAATATAGAAAACCTTTCCATTTGCTCTCTTTTGTAGAAGTTTAGAAAACCTCTTTGTCTAAACCAGCGGTCTCCAAACTAGGGCCCTTTATTCGCTTGCCTGTATCTGGCCCTTGGGGCACAATTCCCCCTTACTGACACCAGCTATGGGAGCATAATTGTTGCCACTGGCACCAACATTGAAGGACTATTCTTCCCACTGATACCAATAGTGGGGGCAAGCTTCCTCCCACTAAGACCAATGATGGGGTACTATTCCTTCCACTGACACCAATGATGGGGTACTATTTATCCTACTGACACCAATGATGGGGCACTATTCCTACCACTGATACCAATGATGGGGCACTATTCCTCCCACTAAGACCAATGATGGGGTACTATTCCTTCACTGACACCAATGATGGGGTACTATTTATCCTACTGACACCAATGATGGGGCACTATTCCTACCACTGACACAAATGATGGGGCATTATTTCTCCCACTGACACCAATGATGGGGCACTATTTATCCCACTGACACCAATGATGGGGCACTGTTATCCAATGATGGGGCACTATTCCTCCCACTGACACAAATGATGGGGCATTATTCCTCCACTGACACCAATGACGGGGCACTATTCCTAACACTGACACCAATGATGGGGCATTATTCCTGCCACTGACACCAACAATGGAGCCTTTTCCACTCCACTGGCCACAGTCCGGTCTCCCTCAAAGTCTGAAGTACAGTAAACTGGCCCTTTGTTTAGAAAGTTTGACTTCTAGTAAAGTTGCATGATTTCAAAGTCAGATGTCATTCCTACCACTAAGACGACTGATGGGGCACTATTCCTTCCACTGACACCAATGATGGGACACTATTTATCCCAGTGACACCAGTGATGAGGCACTATTTATCCCAGTGACACCAATGATGGGGCATTATTTGGCATTGTTTACTCCCACTGACACCAGGACATTTTCTACTCCCACTGGCCACAGTTCAGCCCCCCCTAAACAACAGTAAACTGGCTCTTTGTTTAGAAAGTTTGGACCAAAACCATTGAATATCTCCTGTGGACTCTGAGTTGACTTGTCCTTTCTCCTGACCTTCCCATTGGCCTATCCACATGATGGGCAGTCCCACTGGCCAATAGCAAAGCGCAGGAAAGAGTGGGCTACAGCTGGAATCCCTGGAACCTTGTAGCAGTTTGCTTTTTGGGGTTCCCAGAGCACTCTTGGAGAGTTCCTACATCTGCTGTTCTCTTGCCCCCCTTGTTGGGTCATCAATATACCACATTAAGTGGCACTGAAGGCTCACAGTGGGGTGCCATTATGGAGGCACCCTGACCCCCCCCCCCTTCCTGGTGACATCAGAGCCTAAGGTCGCCTGCATGCTTGTTTAGGTCAGCGACACCAGACAGGAAAATTGAGGATCAGGATGACAGCTTGCTCCCCTGTACCTCTTAGCCTTGGAAGCTCTCATGTTTTTATCCTTACAGGTGCAGCTTAAAGTGGACCTGTCCTGATTGTGATCTTTTTTTTTCAAAAAATGCTAACTGCCTGGCTGTTATGCTCATCTGCTGGCCTACAGAAAAGCCAGAGAACACCTGATCTGGCTACTTGCCAAAAGCTGAAGACCATTAGGAGAATCAGGCCAAGGTCAGCAGTGGTCTCCTTTAATATTTCCCACCGCGTATAATGTAGGTTGCAGTACGTTTCAGGACCATGTGGAGCACCTACCTGCCAGGCATCCTCCCTCGGCCCCGTGCACATTCACCCCGTCCTCCATGGGCACTGATAGGTGTTCATAGTGATTTCCATGAGCAGGGATCTTCAGGAGATCTGCCCCGCGCCAGTGCAGAGCGCTAACTGGCACCATGGACATCTCCAGGTCCAGATTCAAAGCCGCCAGGAGAGACATCTTCGCCGGGATTATTCAGGTTGAGGCCGGAGAATTGGTCAGAAGCACGATTCCAGCTGTAGATGGCAGCGGAAGGCGCAGAGCGAGGAAAAGACCTGCCGGGAAAAGCACACCACACACACAACTTAGTTCTCCTTTTTTTAACATTTCAATACACATGATCCAATACAAGTCTATACTGGCCAAAAATGATGACTCCACCAGAAGACCCAAATCATGAGTCCAACCTCTGGCCTGCCCAGGGAACCAAAAGGCCAAATCCATGCCGGCATGGACGAGTTCTTGTAGTTCCTCAACGGCAGCCAGATTATCCATCGCTAATGGTCATTGGCGTATTAGAAGCTCAGTAAGACATTTATTGATCCAACCAGGGCGGACTCTACCATTTAGGCATTCGGGCAATGCCCAAGGGCCCAGGGTCAGTAGAGGGCCCCATGAGATTCCCCCTGGTACTTCATAGACTTTTTTGAGTGTGGTTTGAGTGTGGGCGAGGACATAGGGGCCCCATGATTCCCTATTGCCCGCATGGGGGGGCCCCCCTACAAGAGACCCTGAGTTTTGTCAGTCCGCTCCTGATCCAAACATCATCTTGGTCCACATCTTCAAGGAGCAGAACCTTCAATACTAAAATATTATAGAGAACGAACGCAAAGGAGGCTGAGATTGGCTTCCTCAGCATTAAAGAGACCCTGTCAGACCCACCAACTTAAAAAAGCTTCCCCCCCCCCTCCAGTCCAAAAGCTTCCCCCCCCCTTCCAGTTCGAAGCTTTCCCCCCCCCCCCCCCCCTTCCAGTTTCGAAAGTTTTCCCCCCCCCCCCCTTCCAGTCCAGACGCTTTCGGAATCCCCCCCCCCTTTCAGTCCCCCCCTTCCAGTCCGGACACGACGCTTTCCCCCCCTTCCAGTCCGGACGCTTTCACACCCCCTTCCAGTCCGGACGCTTTCAACCCCCTTCCAGTCCGGACGCTTTCACCCCCTTCCAGTCCGGACACTTCCCCCCCCCCCCCCTTCCAGTCCGGACACTTTCACCCCCTTCCCATTCAGGCCAATTTTCAGCTTTCAGCGCTATCACACTTTGAATGACAATTGCGCGGTCATGCAACACTGTACCCATATGAATTTTTTATCATTTTTTGGAGACTGATAAAGCTTTATTTTGGTGGTATTTATTCACCGCTGGGATTTTTTTTTTTTTTTTTTGCTATATAAATGAAAAAGTCCAAAAAATGTTGAAAAAAAGTGTTTTTCTTTTAAAATGTTGCAAATAATATTTCATCATAAATCTCAGCCAAAATGTATTCAGTTATCTTTTAGTAAAAAAAAAAAAAACCCAAATTAGTTTATAACCAAAAATTATAATTTTTCAAAAATGTATTTTACATTTTTATTTTATTTTTTTATATTATTTGTTTTTTGGGTTTTTTTTTTTTTTTTTACATACTATCACCCTAGCAGTGCAGTGTCACCATGGTGACACTGTACTACTTGTGGGGGGTGATGAAGATTTTTTTTTTCTCTACACTGATTGCTTTTATACCCATAAAGGCTGTAAAAGCAATCATTTCTCCTTCTCTCTGGCTGCATTCCTGTAGCCATTGAGAAATACTGTGTGAGCTGTGATTGGTCACAGGTTGTCACATGGTACAAGGCTGTTGTGAATAGCCCTGTACCATGTGATCTCTGTGATCATTCACAGATTTCACCCGTAGTAAGCAATGATGTCAGAAGTGGCTGTCACTTGAGATCAGGAGCTGTTACCCACCCGTAAGCGCGCAGGGCGCGCGATCTGGCCGCATTTTGGTATGCATATATGCAGCCTCACCACATGTTGCAATCTGATTGTACACTCCAATAATGTTGTCAATCTCCCAATAAGTATGTAGAGCCAGGGCCCTTCTGTATGGATACAGCTTGATTGGGTAGTTCAGGTTGCATAGCTTTGGTCGATCTTACAGGGATTGTATGGTCAGATTGTATGATGTATGGTGATCTTAAAGGAGGTTTTTGTCACCAGCTACTTCAGTTCTTTTTGCCTAAGCATTGCCAATGGCGATATTCCTCCTCTCAGATGTGTCTGTGGGGACTGTCAGAAAAACAATGCTAAATTATACCCTGGGGGGGGGAGGGACAGGAATCCGCAGATAGCCCACGCACACAGAACACTGCTGTCACCGATCTGCAGCCTCTCCTATGTGTCTGTTATATGAACCACCGAAAATCACCCCAATGTGACAATGGCCTTGCCGGCCCTCTAAAGGACTTGGTGACTGATGGGCTCCTATGTGCAGCTGTGAAAACTGCCACTTTTTTTACTTCTTGCGGACTACAAATCTCAGCATACCCAGCCATCCTCTTCCTTGCTGCTTCAGAGTTTTGATCTACAGTCTACCTGATTGGGGATCTACAAACTATTCCTGTTGACTTCTGCTATCAAATTCATAACATAGTAATTTAAGAAACAATAAAAATAGAAAAGGTTATACATAAATGATCTATATATATATATAATATAAATATAATAATATAAATTATACTATATAATAAAAATAATATAAAAATATAAAACTATACGTAATGTATAAAAAAAAAAAATCACAAGAGGAAAAGGTTATACATAAATGATCTATATATATAATAAAATATAATAATATAATATAATATAAAAATAAAATATACCTAATGTATAAAAAAAAAAAAATCACAAGAGGAATAATAAATGATCTAAAAAATAAAATATAATATAATATAAATATAAAAAAAATATAAAACTATACCTAATGTATAAAAAAAAATAAATCACAAGAGGAAAAGGTTATACATAAATGATCTACATATATAATATAAATATAATATAATAAAATATAATATAATATAAAAAAATAAAAACTATACCTAATGTATAAAAAAAAAAAAAATCACAAGAGGAAAAGGTTATACATAAATGATC